GGAAAGAGGAGAAGGGAGAAAGGAAGGGGAGGGATTCGGCCTCCCTCTTCCTTCCCTCCTCCCTCCTCCTTCCTCCCCCCTCCGGGAATTATGGTAAGGGGGTCGAATAGGATTAGGGCCCCAAGTAGGATTCCTATTACTTGGGCACCCCCTTGGCTGCCCCCTCTCCCTCCCACCTATATATATGAAGGGGGAGGCGCCTAGAACACACAACAACATCTGTTAGCCGTGTGCGGCGCCTCCCTCCAAAGTGTACGCCTTCCGTCATATTCACGTAGTGCTCAGGCGAAGCCCTGCGCGGATCACTTCACCATCACCATCACCACGCCGCCATGCTAACGGAACTCTCCCTCGACACTTTTCTAGATCAAGAGTTCGAGGGACGTCATCGAGTTGAACGTGTGCAGAACTCGGAGGCGCCGTACGTTCAGTGCTTGATCAATCGGAACGAGAAGAAGTTCGACTACATCAACCGTGTTGTCAAATGCTTCTGCTTTCAGACTACGAGGGTATGTGGACACACTCTCCCCCTCTCGTTGCTATGCATCTCCTAGATAGATCTTGCGTGAGCGTATGATTTTTTTTGGAATTGCATGCTACGTTCCCCAACAGCCACACCATCTGTTGCCGAGCCCATACCGTGACCAATCGAAGCCCTCCATCCTTCACACATCATCCCTTCCCCTCACCCTTCATTCATATACCCGCTCAGTCTACACCCGCTATGCATGCACCCAATAGCTCTCATGAGCCTATTAGCCCACAAACACCCATTATCCCATCCACACCCCCTAGGCCTAGCCCATCCACTCCGATTGCTCCTTCTGCTCCTACGCCCAATGTACATGAACATGGGTGGTCTGTTCGTGGTCCAACACCTCCTCCCGACCCACCATCTTCGCCGCGAGCAAATGCGCCAATTCATCGCACGCGCTCGACAACAGGTCGCCTTCCTTCCCCGATCGACCGCCTCAATCTTTCTGCTGTCGTGTCCTCACCTATACCGCATAATTATCTCATGGCTCTTTGTGATCCCTCTTGGCGCCACACTATACAGGAAGAATGTGATGCTCTTATCGTTAATAAAACCTAGACTCTCGTCCCTCCTCCTCTAGGTGCCAACATTGTTAGTGGTAAATGGATCTTCCGACATAATTATAACTCTGATGGCTCACTTGCTCGACATAAGGCTCGTTGGATCGTACGCGGTTTTTCACAACAACCAGGTGTCGACTATGATGAGACTTTTAGTCCAGTTGTAAAACTGGTTACCATTCATTTGGTTCTTTCTCTTGCACTTTCTTCCTCTTGGCCCATTCACCAAATTGATGTAAAAATGCTTTTCTTCATGGCTATCTCGATGAGGTCGTCTATAGTCAACAACCATATGGTTTTATTGATACTAACCATCCCAATTATGTCCGTGTTTGCATAAGTCTCTCTATGGACTAAAACAAGCTCCTCGTGCTTGGTTTCAGCGGTTCGCAATCTATGCTCACTCAGTTGGTTTTGTCGAATCCAAATCTGACGCCTCCTTGTTCATCTTTCATAAGGGCGACACCACCGCATACTTATTTCTTTATGTTGATGATATCATTCTTACCGCCTCTTCTTCCACTTCTCTAAATTCAATTATTCATCTATTCAGTAAGGAATTTGCTATGAAAGATCTTGGACCACTTCATCATTTTCTTGGTATCTCTGTTTCTCGTACACCTGCTAGTTTGCATCACAACGGCAATATATTCTAGAAATTTTATCCCGTGCTGGCATGAGTGATTGTAACCCTGTCTCTACACCGGTCGACACCAAAGCCAAACTCTCCGCAACTTCTGGTTCTCCTATTTCGGATCCTTCTTTGTATCGCAGTCTTGCCGGTGCCCTTCAATACGCCACTCTCACTCGCCCAGATATAGCCTATGTTGTTCAACAAGTGTGCCTTCACATGCATGATCCTCGTGATCCTCATCTCTTTTTCTCAAACGCATTATGCGCTATCTCAAAGGCACACTTGATCTCGGCCTAACTCTTTATCCTTCCTCCTCTCACACCCTCATTGCCTACTCAGATGCTGATTAGGCTGGTTGCCCGGACACCAGACGTTCTAGATCTAGATTTTGTATGTTTCTCGGTGATAATTTGATCTCATAGTCTTCTTGACGGCAAACCACAATTTCGCGTTCCAGTTCGGAGGCTGAATACCGCGTTGTGGCTGCTGTCGTGGTTGATTCTTGTTGGGTCCGTCAGTTACTACAAGAACTACATCAACCTGTCTGCGGTGCCACAGTTGTTTTTGTGACAATGTGAGTGCAGTCTATCTTGCTCACAGCCCGGTACAACATCGACGAACCAAACATATCGAGCTTGACATCCATTTTGTCCGTGAGAAAGTTGCTCTTGGTGCTGTTCGAGTCATGCATGTTCCTTCTTCATCACAATATGCTGATATATTCACGAAGGGTCCTCCTTGTGTATTATTTCATGAGTTTCGATCCAGTCTACACCTTGCTACACTTCTAAGTTCAGACTGCGGGGACGTGTTAGAGAGTCCTGTATTTAGTCGGTCAGTTGTTGTACCATATCCAGCCAACAATGCTAAACATCCGAGTATGTTTAGATTACCAAACATAGACTGAGTCGGGTTGTAATTACCTTGACTTGCAATACAAGTTCATACCATGTATACATATATATATATTGTGGCATTCAGACTAGAGGAGGCGTGCAATTTTGCTGCCCCGATTCTTATCTGTCTTACAGTTATGGAGGACCTTGTGTGAACGAGTTATTTCGCAACAAGGGCATACAAGAGAGCGACAAGGGAAATCTCTACTTCTAATGAAGCAGTTGGTGAATCGTCTCCATGGTTTATTTTCGCTAGTTTATTTTTGTCTCTCCTTCCATCACCCCCTCCCACCCTGGTCCATCGGTTTATTTTTCTCTCCGCTCTTTATTACAACCAGAACTTTCCTAACGTATAACAAATCACGGATCTAACTTTCTTAAATTATGCAAATCAATCGATTCCTTTTATTAGTTTAATTTGTCTTAGGAAACAAATAACAGAATTTTAGGAAACAAATAATATATTTTAATCTAACTTATCTAAATCAATCGATTTCTCTCATTAGTGAATTTTTTTTAGGAAACAAATAACAGACACATCACAAACTTTTCTCCCAATAAATAGTTTCTTAACATTTGCAAACTTTCTTAATCAGACACGTCACAAACGGGCAGGTACTGTTATCACGTTACCAAACAATAAAATCCCATTTGCATAGAAATCAGTTCAAAATCCTAATTTTCTTAAATTTTTACCTTTCCTTGATAACAAACAATATTTCCTATATTTTCCACCTATAGAAGGAAATCGCCCCTCCATCGATATTGGCATTTTTTTGGAATGAGATCTCCAGGTTATAATTTTTTTACGATTCTTTCTAATTGTGACCTCTCCTTCCGCTCCGGCTCCTTCTCGCAGTTGGTGAATAGTCTCCACCATTTATTTTCGCTGGGTTTTTTTCGTCTCTCCTCCCACCACCCCCTCCCACCCTGGTCCATCGGTTTATTTTTCTCTCCACTCTTTATTACAACCAGAACTTTCCTAACGTATAACAAATCACTGATCTAACTTTCTTAAATTATGCAAATCAATCGATTCCTTTTATTGGTTCAATTTGTCTTAGGAAACAAATAACAGATTTTCAGGAAACAAACAATATATTTTAATCTAACTTTCCTAACTTATCTAAATTAATCGATTTCTCTCATTAGTGAAATTTATTTTAGGAAACAAATAACACACACGTCACAAACTTTCCTCCCAATAAATAGTTTCTTATCATTTGCAAACTTTCCTAATCAGACACGTCACAAACGGACAGGTACTGATATCACGTTACCAAACAATAAAACTCCATTTGCATAGAAATCAGTTCAAAATCCTAACTTTCCTATTTTTTTTACCTTTCCTTAATAACAACCAATATTTCCTATGTTTTCCACCTATAGAAGGAAATCACCCCTCCATCGATATTAGCATTTTTTGGAATGAGTTCTCCAGGTTATGATTTTTTTGCGATTCTTTCCAATTGTGACATCTCCTTCCGCTCCGACTCCTTCTCGCATAAACACCTCCACCACAGCCAGCTGACGCCACCCCAGACCTCCTGCCTCTTCACACCTTCTCCGCCACCTCCTCATACTCCATTGACAATCCCTCCGCCATGTTTGTCCACGGCGGTGTCGAGGACATGGCGCAGCATCGTACCAGCGATAGAGCAGCGCATAGCAGCAGGAAGCAGCACGCAGCAGGCGAGGCAAGCGGCCGGCGTGGCTGAGGGGGCGGCCGACAGAAGATGGCCGTGACAGGAGGGGGCGCGAGGCAGGGGCGCGACTGCGGGGCGAGCGAAGGGATAGGCGGCAGCAGGCGGGGCGAGCGCAGCTAGCGAGAGTGTGGCGCGTGGCCAGGGTGTGCGTCGCACGGGTCACAGTGGCGTGGTGGCTGCGGTGAGCGCGACAGTAGTGGCGGGCGCGATCGACGCGGTGTGGCACAGGCGTGGGCATGGAGAGGGAGTGGCCCCGCGGGCGCGGAAGAAGAGCAGCAGGCTCGGGCATGGGCGCGCATAGGAGCGGGCATGTGCCACGGGGTCAATCCGAGGAGCTCGGTGGCTACCCCTGCAACGGCCATGGCGGACGGCGGTTCTCGGCCACGGCAAAATACCTAACGAGAGCAAACGAGAGGGAAAACAGGGGAAAGGCAAGAGGAGATCATGACAGTGTCAATGGCACCCTAGGGGAAGATAGGGGAGCTCGGGGAGGCGCGGATCGAACGACAATGTTACGGTGGCCGAAGGTTGAGGAAGACGGCAACGACGCTGATGCGGGGGTGCTGGACTTGATCTCGTTGGCGCAGACGAAGTAGCGGAGGAGTTCGGAGCTCCTCGACAAGCTCCTAGCCTGCAGGGAGAGCAGTGGATGTGTGGACGGGGTCGTTCATGGTGGTTGTGGCGTCTGACTTCGTCCAGATCGACGGGATCGAGCGAGCGAGGAGGAGAAGTGGATCTGGGAGGGGGCGTCGAGGAGTGAGGCCATGGGGGGCAGGGGAGGCAGGGCGTCACCCTTATGCATTCCCCTTCGATGTCGGCGAGGTGGTCGGGCGGGAGCTCGGCTCTGTAGCGACGTGGCTCGGGGAATATAAGTTGTGGTGGCAAATATAATATACATAATCCATATTGTTATGCACTAGCGTGTGTGCATTTGAAATAGATGGATTATGATCCCGTACCCAATAAAATGGATATGTGTGTGTGTGTTAGAGAGAGAGAGGGGGAGAGGGGGAGAGAGAGTGAGGAAGAGGGAAGGATAGAGTATGTGTATGAGAATTTGATGATAAAAAATATCGTCAATGTCACTTGATATGTATGAGAATATTAAATGTAATATTAACATAACTGATATTGAACTTTTAAAGTTAATGTGACCCCGTTACAACGCACGGACGTTCTTCTAATTTTCTATAGAAAGTGAGTGTCGTTGGTTGGAGATAAAGCGTGTTCTTTTAATCATCTTGAGTCTGGTAAACTTTGTGAGAAAAACTGTAAATATTCTACTAAAACTTCTTTCAAATAGGATTAATTTTTGCAAGGATACAAAAATTACCATAAACCTAGACCGTATATTGTGTCAGGATATACACTTAAAACATTGTTTTTTAAAATATTTTTTAACATAGTATAGACGTATACGCTCATACATACACATACACTATTTTTATAAGCACCTTCGAGAGACCGAGCTGACACATCATCTTGAAAGGAGAATGCGTGCAACAATGTAAGTCTTGGACTTGAACTGGGGTGAGCAGGTGATAACTCTGTCCTCCTAACAATCCAACCACAGAATGATCATACCATAGAACATTGTCGATGTGATCTTTTATTTTGTACGAGTCAGTTTTCACCTATTTCACGTTTTTTATAAGGGTTATTTTTTAGGATTTTATTTTAAATTATTATTTTTAGCGAAAATGATTTATTTTGAAGTTTTGTACGGGATTTATTTTAAGTTTCTTTAGGCAAGATGTCGGGACTCCGATCCGAACTGCAAATGTGTGGCAGCACTCGGCAGCCTAGGCTCGGCCCATCAAAATAAGCATCACCACCTACGGCCCATTCAGCGCCGCCACTCTCTCGTTTTCCCCCATCCGTCCCTTGAGACGGCGCCTCCTTTGCCGGAGCACTCAGCACAGTAGACCACGGTCACGGACAGCGGCGACCTCCTTCCGAGCGTCGCTTTACCGCCGGCCGTAGAAACCCTGCACCGCCGCCGTTTGGTTTCGGTTCGTCTCTCTACCTTCCGTATTATTCGTCGGTCATGGTTTCGCCGTCGGCTTAACCATAGCGCATCTTCCCCCATGCTTCTGATTCTCCAACGCCTCAGAAACAGAATTGAATCGGGCTCTGTTGATGGGCAGCTTGCGCGCTCCGCCTCAGCTCGCCGGCGGCACCAGCCTTGGTCGCGGTTACCGGCCCTGTCTTGCCTCTTCCGGGGTCCCCAAATCCAAAGGTGCGTGCTTTTGACTTGCGTATTCTGTTGTTGTAGCCTTTGGTTCCTAAGCTTGTTGGATAAGATTCTCGGAATTGTGATATGCCTGCTTCGTGGTTTCAGTGTTGGGTGTTAGCTGCGCGATGAAGTCCTATAGGCTGTCCGATCTCAGTGATGCCGAGGTTAGCGGCCTCAAGGCGCGCCCTCGCATTGACTTCACCTCCATTTTCAGTACGGTAAGATAATAGTGAAATTATTCATGGGTATGGAGTTGAAATTGTGCCCTAGCTTGACATCCATGGGATTTGGATTTGTGGATTTGTGGGATTAGGTGAATCCGATTGTTGAAGATGTCCGCGCCAGAGGTGATGCTGCGGTTAAGGAGTAAGTGTTTTGTACTATTTGATCTTTATCGTTCTGTTCATGGCCTATTGCAGAGTTTTTCTTACTTTGCTGTACATGGTCTGTTCAGTTACACAGAAAAGTTTGACAAGGTCACTCTCGATAATGCCGTTGTGCGTGTTAGCGATCTCCCAGATGCAGAGGTACTCATCTTGTGATGTGCATCTAAATTATGCTGTTTGTCTTGTTAATTTAACCGAAGTCACAAGCAGATAAATTTCAGGCCTTTTCTCTCCACGCACCATATTGATACATGGCTTGTTTGGTTACTTATTTCTTTAGTTGCAGCTCGCAATTCTAGGCTTTATCTACCTGCATTCAGATGCTTTCAATCCTTAGAAATAAGTACACCTGATGTTAGTATATTTTATGTCCAGATTCAGATGGTCCTCAAATAGTTTTTTTTTTCATCTGCTAGATGATTTTGGCTGTCTTACCTTCATCAAATTTGTAGCTTGATCCAGCTGTTAAGGAAGCCTTTGATGTGGCGTATGACAATATTTATGCCTTCCATGTTTCACAAAAGTCGCCAGAAAAGACAGTTGAGAATATGAAAGTAAGAGAATGCTTTGATGCCCCCATTTACGTTTTGTCCTTTCTATATGCTTATGCTTATTTATTTGTGCGCTCCTGAATGTATGAAGGGAGTGAAGTGTAAAAGGATAACAAGATGCATTGGTTCTGTCGGGCTGTATGTTCCAGGGGGCACTGCAGTCTTGCCTTCAACTGCATTGATGCTTGCTGTGGTATGCTCATGTTTGTTCAAATCCTCTAAACTAAGTTACCTGCAGTTATTTGTTGTTTTGAATTTCTCACGTGGATTCTCTTTTTTAATAGCCTGCACAGATTGCTGGATGCAAAACTGTAGTTCTTGCCACACCCCCTAGTCGTGATGGTAGCATATGTAAGGTATGCTTTGTGGGACATGGAAATGCTGCTGTTTTTGTAAGGTGAAATTGATGAAATCTGAACATTATTCCTATTTCATGCAGGAGGTTCTTTACTGTGCTAAAAAAGCTGGTGTTACACACATACTAAAAGCTGGGGGAGCTCAGGTAGAAGGATATTTTGAGATATTGCTTGTTTTTATGTAGTTCAATTTTATCAATGTCCTTTATTTTTTAAAATGTTCTTTACTTTCAGGCAATCTCCGCTATGGCATGGGGAACTGCATCATGCCCAAAGGTGCTCAAGATCTATACCACTATGATTTACTTGTTCAAAATCAGTAGGGGCATTTTCTGTCTTCATCACGAAACTTGTACAATGTTGTATTGACATGCACTTGTTAAAGGACTGTAAAATTGAGTTAAGCACTTTTGTGGAGTCATGTCATGATCTTAGCAGCTCATAACCTGTTCCAAATGTCTATGCAAATATAGGCGTGTGCACTCGTTAGATGCAACAATTGTTTCTCATTTGCCATCTTTTGTTACTTGCTTGACAGGTTGAGAAAATATTTGGTCCCGGCAACCAGTATGTCACAGCTGCTAAAATGATTCTTCAGGTCTATTCTGTTCTTTCTGTGTAAATCATGACCAGTATCTGCTCGGCATCTTCTCTGTGTGCATTCCTTTCTGTGGTTCTTATTCTTATTTGACTGCAGAACAGCGAAGCTATGGTCTCTATAGACATGCCTGCTGGCCCTTCAGAAGTTCTGGTAATCGCTGACAAATATGCCAACCCAGTTCATGTTGCCGCTGATCTGCTATCTCAGGTATGTTCTCGTCCTGTTACTCTGCTCTGTAGTGCCAAGAGTATATGTTGAATTGACTATTGTGCACTATTTTTGATATCAAACTTGAGGATAACAGATAAAGATAGGATAATATTGATGTTCACCAAGCATTTCCATGTATGTTTGGTCTATCTTGTAGGCAGAACATGGCCCAGATAGTCAGGTTGTTCTAGTTATTGCGGGAGATGGTGTTGATTTAGCTGCCACTGAAGCAGAAGTTAGCAAGCAGTGTGATGCTCTTCCTAGAGGCGACTTTGCTTCCAAAGCACTTGGCCACAGTTTCACTGTGTTTGCCAGAGATATGGCTGAGGTAATTATTCGTTCATGTCATTCCTTCCTATACCGCCTGCGATGCAAAAAAAACTATCGTTTTGTGGCCTTTGTCCTCAGATAGATGCTTGCTTCTAAAAGGAGTACACTATCAGTATGCGTCGTAGAAATTTGAAGTCGCGAATTAAGATCCATCTGGTTACTTCCTGTTCTCAAGGATTCATTGACCTCCCCTGTTTGTCCCCCTTTTCAGGCATTATCGTTCTCAAATATGTATGCTCCTGAGCATTTGATCATCAATGTAAAGGATGCTGAGCAATGGGAGGAGCTCATCGAGAATGCAGGTAGGCATGGCTACCAGAGCTTAGTTGCCCCCAAATGCGTATTGATTCGCATCCCACTCTTTGCATACTTCGATCTGCTTAATGTTTGGTCTCCCAACTACAGGGTCAGTTTTCTTGGGACAATGGACCCCCGAGAGCGTCGGTGACTACGCTAGTGGGACGAACCACGTCCTCCCAACCTACGGTTACGCGAGGATGTACAGCGGTGTGTCGCTGAATTCTTTCCTCAAGTACATCACTGTTCAATCCCTGACTGAAGAAGGGCTGAGAAGGCTGGGTCCCTACGTCGCAAAGATGGCAGAAGTCGAAGGCCTAGAAGCGCACAAGCGAGCTGTTACCCTCAGACTGCAAGAGATCGAAGCCACTGTAACTGTTTAAACTGTTAACATGGTCTGTTGTGCCAGTCTATTTGATGCTTGGGAACTGATATTTTTCTTAATTCTTATCGGATGGGACTTGCCAGAGTTTAAGGTGAATACGAAGCTGTTTCATGGAATAATGCTACTTATGTCGATCCGTTAAATGAATAAACTTGTGAGTACAGTCTCTTGTGCGTTGAGAGTTGGAAAGCGGATGAAATAGGTGCCATAATGTTTTTGTTACAAATAATATTTTGATCTTGTGGCAAATGGCTAGCAGAATGCCCTCTCTCTCTCTCTCTCTGGATCATCAGAAGCCGGCAGACAAAAATGTCATCGATGAGAGAGGTCCCGGGAACTGTAGCATTGTACTACTACATTGCAGACCGAGCAGCTGATTATGGGACCTCACGATGGAGATCACCATAATAGAAGCCAAAAACATGGTTCATCTTCGATGGTGACCCTGACACTAACATCTCAGGCTCGCTGTCAGTGCTGTCGTGCCGGAGAAAAGAAGAGGTCCTCGCTGACTACACACCTAAGATACTGCATTTTCATACTCGATTCCTAGATGCCAAATTTACCGGAACCTTCTCCCGAAACTAAAAAAAAAAAGTACAGAAGCCTAAGTTCAGATTACGGAGGTGTACTGTGTACAAGGAGTGATGTCTTGTTTTTTTGGTGAGGTACAAGGGGAGTAATGCTACACGTACGATCAAAAACTGTCCAGTCTTTACACGATGGATGACATGGACTGTTGATTTTTCTTCTTCTTGTTTTTCAATCTTTATATGGTTCATATTAATGTTGTGACACCATCGCAAAGTGTCGTACGCACATTATTTTCGTTCCATGGACCGTAGTTCGGCACTCTTCTCTCACCTCTATGTTCCCTTGGACATGAAGACATGGACTCAAACGGGATATATCTGATGTCAAACGGGATCTATCTAAGGCGAAGCGTAAAACTCATTGGCAGTGGTCGAAAATTCAGAGGCACAAGCTTAGTGGTAGCCAGGGATTCCATGACTTCAGGGTGTTTAACTAGGCTCTGTTGGCGCTGCAAGCTTAGAGACTTCTCACTAAACCTGGGAGTCTTTGTTCGCAGGTATTAAAAGCTCGATATTACCCGAAAGGGCGTTTGGAGGACACAGTTTTCTCAGGCAATGCATCGATCACGTGACAAGCGATCCAATATGGTCTCGAGGGCCGAGGAAGTCGCTCCATCTCCACAGAGGAATGCAAATGATATTCCCTCGAAGTCAGGCGCGGATGGGGAATAGAAACCTAAGACGCAAGCCTAGCGCTGCCCGAGAAGCAGTGCAACAACCATCCACTGAGACACATGCTCAGATGGATATTGACACAGAAGAAGTTCCTTGTCCCTAGGACATTGATATGGGGGACGAGAAGAATGTTGCTCAGTCTGAGGCTCAAGAAAAAATTGTTGTTGAGAAAGATGTTGTTTCGGCCCAAGTGCCTCCTGCTGATGCCAGTGAAGAAAAGGCCCTAGAGCCAAAAACCAGTGTTTCTGAGAAATTTGAAAAGAAGCAAGCTAAAAAGGTTGACGTTTTTTTTTTCGAAAATGGGGAGACTCCCCGACCTCTGCATCAGAACGATGCATACGGCCAATTTTATAAATAAGCAAACAGGTTCAACAAGGTCTTAAGTCTCCAACGAAAGTAAAGAGAAGCTCACAAAGAGCCAAAAGGCCAATAACAAAACTAGCCAAAAAGAAGTCACAACCGGCTGGCATAAGAGAGATAGGTAAACTAATTGCCTATCCTATTACATGACCGCCATCCAAACCGGTTGAAGATATCCCGTGCTACCATCTCCTATCAGATAGATCCAGTAACCAAACGCTCCCTGGCCTCCATCGGAGTGAGTGGCGACCACATACGGATCAACGCAGTGGCTCGGAAGATAACCTGCAAAAAAATGAATATTTGTTGCTCTGTTAAAAACTAAATCATTTCTGCAGTTCCATACTGCCCATAATAAAGCACATGCTCCTACGCGAAAGTGTCGTGCTGTTTCGGACTCTATCCCGTTAAGCCACGTTCCAAATAACGTGTTGACAGATCTCGGAGGAGTAATATTAAAGGCAATATGGACAGTCCGCCATAAGACTTTTGCCAACGGGCACTCAAGAAAAAGGTGTTTGATGGTTTCATCCCGATCGCGGAAGTTACACCTAGTAGGTCTTGTCCAGTTACGCTTTGCCAAATTATCCCTGGTCAAGATTACTTGTTTATGTACAAACCACATAAACACTTTAATTTTCAAAGGAACTTTGACAGCCCAAACATATTTGGAGCTAGGAATGGAACTTGAATTGATAACATCAAGATACATTGATTTGACTGTAAACTCTACAGACCTAGTAAGCTTCCAGCGTAACTTATCGGGTTGTTGAGAAAGCTGAACCTCCATCAGCCTACTCACTAGATGGAGCCACTCTTCCCAACGATTACCGGCTAGCGTCCTCCTGAACTGAATATTAAGGGGAGAGGATTGAAGTACCGATGCAACAACCGCATCACGTCGTTGAACAATGCGATACAGAGACGGATATTGAAGCGCAAGGGGAGTCTCTCCGAGCCAAGTATCCTCCTAGAATCGTGTGGTAGCACCATTACCTATAATAAACTTTGTCCTATTAAAAAAGGCCAATTTGACTCTCATAAGCCCTTTCCAAAAGGGTGACTCAGTCGGTCTCGGTGTCACCTGGGACAAAGTTTTGGATTGAAGATACTTGCTACGAAGGATCTGTGCCCAAGTAGCATCAGTCTCGATAGATAGCTTCGACAGCCACTTGCTGAGAAGACATCTGTTCTTGACCTCGAGGTTCTCAATGCCAAGACCCCCTTGGTCTTTCGGTCGACAGATAATATCCCACTTGGCGAGTCTGTACTTTCTTTTAAGTTCATCGCTCTGCCAGAAGAATCGGGATCGATAGAAGTCCAGTCTTTTCCTAACTCCCACTGGGACCTCAAAGAACGATAAAAGAAACATAGGCATACTCGTGAGAACCGAATTAATCAGAATTAATCAGCCTCCATAAGACATGAGCTTGCCTTCCAGCAACTCAGTTTATTTTCAAAGCGATCCTCGATACACTTCCATTCCCTGTTTGTCAGCTTACGATGGTGAATTTGTACACCTAAATACGTAAAAGTTAAAGACCCCAATTCGCATCCAAACAATTGTCTATAAGCCTCTTGTTCCTCATTGGCTCTACCAAAATAGAACAATTCGCTTTTATGAAAGTTAATCTTTAACCCGGTCAATTGTTCAAATAAGCATAACACCAGCTTCATATTTTTCGCTTTTGCCAAGTCATGCTCCATAAAGATGATCGTATCATCAGCGTACTGTAGGATAGACACACCTCCATCGACTAGGTGAGGCACCAATCCACCCACCTGACCAGCCTCCTTATCCCTTCCTATCAGAATTGCTAACATATCAACTACGATGTTGAACAAGATAGGAGACATCGGATCCCCTTGTCTTAGGCCCTTATGTGTCTGGAAGTAGTGACGTATGTCGTCATTCACTTTAATTCCAACACTCCATTTTTGCGTGAAAGATTCTACCTGGCGTCGCCAGGCTTCTTCAAAACCTTTCATACGCAAGGCCTGTTGAAGGAATGGCCATTTGACTTTATCGTACGCTTTCTCGAAATCCACCTTAAAAACAACTCCATCTAGTTTTTTCGAGTGAATTTCATGGAGCGTTTCATGAAGGACTACAACCCCTTCTAGGATGTTTCTGTCCGGCATGAAGGCAGTTTGGGAATGTTGCACCACAGAATGCGCAATCTGTGTGAGCCTATTAGTCCCCACCTTGGTGAAAATTTTGAAATTAACATTGAGAAGACAGATCGGACTGAACTGCTCAATTCTCACAGCCTCTGTTTTCTTAGGAAGCAATGTTATTGTTCCAAAATTCAAGTGAAATAACTGAAGCTGTCCAGAGAATAAATCATGGAACATCGGTAACAAATCCCCCTTAATAATATGCCAACACTTTTTATAGAATTCCGCCGGGAATCCATCCGGCCCTGGGGCCTTATTGTTTTTCATCTGTGTAATGGCATCAAACGCCTCTTTCTCAGAAAATGGGGCTATCAAAATATCATTGTCATCAGCAGTGAGTTGAGGCACATCCTCAATCCTGGACTCGTCCAGGGACACACAATTATCCTCCGGAGGCCCAAACAGCTGCTTGTAATATTTGGTAATGTATAATTTTAGGTTATCCTGTCCTACAATCGTGCCTTGATACGTCTCCAACGTATCTATAATTTTTGATTGTTCCATGCTATATTATATTCTGTTTTGGACATTATTGGGCTTTATTATACACTTTTATATTATTTTTGGGACTAACCTGTTAACCGGAGGCCCAGCCCAGAATTGCTGTTTTTTTGCCTATTTTAGGGTTTCACAGAAAAAGAATATCAAATGGAGTCCAAACGGAATGAAACCTTCGAGAACGTGATTTTCGGAACGAACTCCAGAGGACTTGGACCCTACGTCAAGACATCAACCAGGAGGCCACGAGGTAGGGGGGCGCGCCCTCCACCCTCGTGGCCCCCCTGTTGCTCCACCGACGTACTCCTTCCTCATATATATACCTACGTACCCCCAAACTACCAGATACGGAGCCAAAACCCTAATTTCACCGCCGTAATTTTCTGTATCCATGAGATCCCATCTTGGGGCCTGTTCCGGAGCTCCACCGGAGGGGGCATCGACCATGGAGGGATTCTACATCAACACCATAGCCCTTCCGATGAAGTGTGAGTAGTTTACCTCAGACCTTCGGGTCCATAGTTATTAGCTAGATGGCTTCTTCTCTCTTTTTGGATCTCAATACAATGTTCTCCCCCTCTCTCGTGGAGATCTATTCGATGTAATCTTCTTTTGCGGTGTGTTTGTTGAGACCGATGAATTGTGGGTTTATGATCAAGTTTATCTATGAACAATATTTGAATCTTCTCTGAAT